GAGGTCTATGGCTGACATGTTCGGACAACGAGATTTGCTGAAATATAATCTTTATTTGATGAAGGGACAACCGGGGGAATTTTGGGATGAAATTTGGTGGGTTGGCACTTTTGAACATTCTGAATCTAATGGAAGTGATGGATCTTTGATTAGAGGTATAGATTAATTGATTTAGTTTCAGATCATGGTCTTAGCTTATGGTTTTCCAATCAACAAGAGGGTCTGAAATGGAATCTTACTTTTTTAATGGTCAAATGGAGGTGTTTGGTCAAGAAATTTGACATGGTGTGGTTTTCTAGGTCTCAGAACATAGTGGTGAGGTCTGATTGGTCATATGAAGTTGGGATGATGGATGATAGGCTCTAATTAATGAGATTTGTTGGAATAGGATCTAGGCTTGATGAGGGGTTAAACGGGGGAATTTTGAGATAAAATTTGGTATGTAGGCATGGATTAGGGTGAGAAATCAAGTGGATGGTTATGATCTGAGAAAAATATGGTCAATCTTGGTAATCATTCAGAGCCATCTGAATGGGATCTTGATATTTTTTTGCGGTTAGTTGTTATAGATTTGTGGTGGGAATCGCTAGTCGATTGTTTCCTAGTGATCTTGGGGTGATGGATATGTTGGATTTGATTTTGGAAGAGTTGGAATTTGGATATCACATAGATCGGGACCGTTAGAATGGAAGGAAGTTGGCATGACGAACGATGGATCTTTATAGTTTAATCATGAAAAGTGATATGTAACAAAGTTGTAGTTTTCCAAGTTTGGGGATAATGTCTGATCAAGGTTCTTATTTGTCTTGTGGATTGCATCAAAAGGGGGGCAGGTTTTAGAGAGAGTCAAGTCAATCTGTTTGTGTTTCTAAGTTTTTGGAGTCTAAGAAGGGGTACAAAGAGGTAGTGTGAAGGGACCGAGCAAAAATTGGATGCTAACACTTGTCTGAACCCCAGGGATGGTGAGGGTGATGGTAATCTGGCCACTAAGGGGCCTTCAGGGTGAATAGAAGTATGATCTTGCCCCCAGTAACGCCCATATCAATGCCCTTGTCAGTGTTGCTTGTTGATGCCATTGAGTACTTAAGTAAAGTAAAGAAGTGAGGTAGGAACTTAGCTTTTGTGTAGCGTTCCCACAAACGACGTCAATTGATGGTGCACAATCTGGTTGCTCCTAGCTAGATGGAAGCTCAGGTGTTGGTTGCTTAGGTGGTCAGTCGAACTGCAAGACAAGTAGGATCAGAGAACCCGAGGTGGCTACCCAGCGTGGTCACTCCGATGCTTAAGTTAGTATTTGCTGTAAGCGAATTGAAAGTTTGAGAATTGGAGAGATAGAATGCACTAAATCGCGCGTACCTGGGTTCTAGGGGTCGGTGCCCTTATATAGATGAGTTGTCGTGGGTCTCATGAAATACCTCCAAGATCCTCGGCCTGCACTGTTAGGAGTCCCTTCCGCCCTGGTAGGTGGATAACGTGCTAGCCAATAAGGCCTATTGTATCTATCCGATCCGAGCAGGATGAGGATAAGTCCTACGGTCGTATGGCATGATCCTGAAGAGCTCGGAGACAATTGGAACACTTCTAGAAATCCGCTATGTGTCACCTCGGTTGGTTGGGCCATCTCAAGCTACTCAGACCTCGGTCCTTGTCGAGGTGCCCGAGTCACCCGAGGTGGCCTGACTCACCGAAGTGATAGGGATTGCTGATGTGGCAAAAAATGCCTAGTCATAGTCCAGTCATCAGGTTGCATCCACGTTTCCACTGTTTAGTGGGTCGGGCCAAATCACCCCTCTTCAAGTACCATTGAAGCTACCAATGCCAATTATACCACATGCAAACTCATTTGTTGTCGTAGGATATATGCCCTCAAATGGACAACCTATGTCTAGAGTTCTAGTGGTGAGATCAAGGAAAAAGAAAAAAATCCATCACTCTGGTCCAACTTGTTAAAACCAAAATCTTATGGTGGTCTTGGGCTATGTGTTGCATCACATTACAATCTCGATCTACCGAGTAATGCTGCAGTGCAATTTTATTTGCACTAGTACATATGTATGAGAGTGCAAATGAAAAAAATGCAAATTTCGGTTTAATTTTAGTTTGGACTTTACTTTATTGCTTTAGGTCTTATTTTACTTATTTTTAATGCAACCAAATAAAGTAAGATAAAATTTGAAACATAAATAAATCAAAACTTGCAGCCAAATTATTTGCACTGCCATAGTTTTGTATCAGTGCAAATGAATTTGCACTGCAACCAAACACAGCCTAGTGTTGGCGTTTTTGAAGCATGCTGACTCTATTTGGGCCGAGATACTCTCCCATAAATATCTTAGAGAAGATTCTTATGGGCATATATATCAATAATACCGCTGGTTCAGGGGTGTCAATTGAACTAAATTTGGTCCAATCCGATCCAGTCCAATGTGAGTCCATTATAAATGGACCACGTCCAATCCAATCCAATGAATGTTTTGGACCGATCCAATTCAATGTCTGGACTATCCAATCTGTTCATATTCATTTTGATTTAGATTGATTTCAATCCAAACATGGTCCATTGACACATATATTCTTATCTTATATCAATGGACCAGATATTGAATTAATCCAACTCAATCCAATATAAATTTGTTATGGACGGACCAGGTCCAATCCAATCTAATAAATATTTTGGACCGGATTGGTCCAATCCAATATGTCTTGTTGGTCTGTCCAATCCGTCAAAATTGATTTTGGACTGGACGGATAAGTGAGGTTGAACGGTTAAGATAAGATTGGAGTGTTGAGATGAAGTGATAAGCATGACCGCATGAGGTTGAGTTAGTTTACGAGATCACATAGAGTTTTGGTTCGAGTGGGAATTCTCTACATCTTTCCATATTTACGATGTAATTTCCTTATTTGAGCAATGTAAATCATTTCACGTTCTCTGTTATTTTATAGTCTGATCAGTTTTATGCATGTTAAAGAAATGCTAAAACATTATCACTACTAGGTCATGGGTGGTCTATATGATTTTTCAAAGAACTTTGGTGTGGACCGAATTTCTTTCTCACACCACTTAATGCCGATGTTGGTGCTGATGTCAAAATAGGCAACATCCATGATCCAGCCAGCAACATTTGCTACCCTCACAAGATCTTAACATTGTGCGGGGTTTTCCTTTATCCAGTGCTGATACAAATTTAGAAGACAACCTAGTCTGGTGAAAGACACTTAGGCGCCATTTGCTTTTTGCTAAGTTATTTACTCAGGTAAATGCGGTTATCTGGGTAAGTTTTTCCTAGGAAACACTTACCCAGGTAAGTGCATTTACCCATGTTCTTTTATTTCTCATGTAAATAAGGCAATGATCATTCTAACCATAAAAATCCATTAGTAAAAGGGATATTTTTGTCCCATTCAAGTGTTGGCAACTTTCCCCCCGAGTGGGAAAGTTATTTACCCACCTTGGAGATGGGCCTAAGAAAGTAAACTTTCCCTAGGCCCCACATAAATCTAAAAAAAGAACATGGGATTCTTGGTCAATGGGAACCAAAATCTCATTGACTAACTCTCCCCCCTTTCAAAATCCGAAGAAAAAACGCCCCCTTAGAGGAACATTTTCATCTTCATCTACCCACTGCAGGACATGCAGTGGCAGGATTTATGGGCTAACAACACTTCCACCAGCTATTAAACTTTTTTTTTCATGGAAATGTATACTAGATATCTTTCCTACTAAGCTCAACGTTGCACATCATCGTGTTAGAATAACTCTCATCTGTCATCTTTGTGATGCAACGAATGAGAACCTCCTTTATATCTTATTCTATTGTCCATTGGCACAAGTAGTATGTACAACTGGTATACAGTTCAAGGTACATCAGTTGCATTTCAGAATGATAATCGAGTATGTGTTTGTAATAGGTTTCCTTACCTTTCCCTTTTCTTTCTCTACCTTTTCATTCAAAGTAAAGATAGCCCAAGGGCGAAAAGGCCCTTTGGCTGCGTTTGAAAACGATGCAAATATGTAGAGTGTAAAATGGTTCATATAAATTGCAAAGTTGGGTTAGAGTTTTGCACCAACAAATTGACCTTCTTACCAAACATACTTTTAGCTGTAATGGATGCAAACATGAATTTCAATAAAGCATATGCTTTTTTATCAAAAGCCCACTTGAATGCAAATTTACTTCTTTTTTATTGATGTACTTTTACATCTTATTATCAATGTAAATATGCATTGGTTTATCATTTGTCAATGCATAAATGTAATGTTGCCAAATACAATCAAAAGTGAACCAAAGTGCAAATTTACCCTGAATCGGGATTTACACTCCATTTGCATCGTTTCCAAATGCAGCCAGACTCAGTTTGGAAGGAGTGCAAATACAAATATATAGAGTACAAATACATACAAAATAATACAAAATACAAGGTTTTGCATTCTACTTATTTGTATTTGTACTCCTTCCAAATGGAGCCTTGTGCAGAAGTATTATTCCTCAAAACAAACTTGTATCATTCCAAAGAAATTACAGCAGCAATTCAACCTTGGCATCTCTTTTGAAAAAGAAAATAACAAAAGAAGAAAAGTTTCTAGGTGAGGATAATCATCAACCCAAGTTAAGAAAGAAAACTTCTCAACAATTATCTTGCTAGTTGCATCATATGCCTTGGAAGCTACAGTTAATCTTAAGCTTTTCTTTATTTCCTTTTCTTTTCCAGTTCCTTGTTTTGGACAAAAATAGGTACGGTATCTCAGTTTCTGTAGAACATTTCCTGAACAGATATCTTGCATCATATGCCCTGAAAGTTACAGTTGCCTTGTTTTCTGTTTTCCTTTTTCTTTTTCAGTCCCAAGTTTGAGATGAAAAATGGGTAAATTTCAGCATTTTTACAGAACCACCATTTTCAACAATAAACTATAAAAAGAAAAAACTGAAATGGTAAGAATTAAATAGCAGCACTTCTGTGTTTTAGAAGCAAGAAAATATATACATATAATCCATATATATAGAAGCATGATTTGCTCAGTCTAGGTAGACAGATATCATATGCAGCATATTTTTATAGATAATGAAATGTCACACTAATTAGTATAGTCACAGAAATACTTCACTAAATTCCTAGTCATATGTTCTGAATAGAAACGCCTTGGTGAATTTAATCAACAAGGCATCCTCCATTGGACAAAACAAAAACATTAAAATTTTAATCACAAAGAGAGTCAAAGAACTACACAAATGTATCATTATTTCTCTGGACTTTTGTATGCTGGACTGAAATTGCAAGGATCAGCATCAATGAGCATCTTCACTACATCTCTCATTGTAGGACGCAGAGAAGGAAGCTTTTTAGTGCAGAGAATAGCAATCCTCAGTACCTTGATCATGTCATCTTCAACAGAGTTTGACACCTTATGATCAAGTATTTTAATGACATCATCCCGAGAATCAAGATGAGTAGAAACCCAATAAACAATGTCTTTTCCTTCTCCATACTCAAGTTCAATTGGACGTCTACCAGTTACTAATTCTAGCAGGACCACACCAAAACTGTATATATCACTCTTTTCAGTCACTTTGAGAGAATAAGCAAATTCTGAAAGACATAAAAGTAATTTACAGTAATAGTTAGTAACTCAGTGCATGTCTATATGGTTCAACATATTAGTCTACCTAATAATTCCTTCATCATTATAAATATGAAGGTTATGCATAAAAAAAAAGAAAAGGCAAACCATTACCCTAATCCCTATACAAGAGAAAAACATGAGAAAGGAACAAAATAGAGATTCTAGAACTAGATAACTATTAAGAAATAAGAATTCAGAATTTAAGTATTATGAATTTAGGTTGTTAGGAATAAGCTCCAAGCCCAACAACATGAGCAACACACAAATAACCTATTGCATTATCCATGCATAACAACCTCAAGTTGTTAAGTCATTGTAATAATAAAATTTCAAATGTTTGTTATCATACAAATATCTGTATATGATTTCATATAAATACAAGATATCAAGGAACTCATGAGTGGTTGAGTTGCCTGTCCATACTCTTTCTCTAATCAAGGTCACAAATAAAAGATCATTTATCAGTACCTGAAGGCAGGAAAAAAAGGAAAAGAGAAACTGGTTGTTATTGGTCAATGACAAAAAGTAATGTTTCTTTGAAAATATATACAGATATTAAAAAGATCACTACTCCATACATGATGGTTATTAAGCTTCCACTCACTTGGAAACAAGGATAGAATCTTGGCATTTGAATCATTGGATTTTTTGGAAAGTGTCTTAAAGCATACACATGGGAAGAATGCGGCTTTAGGCTTAGGGGAAGAAGCATTGCTATGGAGAAATTAAATCTCCTTAGCTATAACTGTAATTAATATGTTTCTCTTTACCCATGGAGTTAGGCGTCATGCTTAATCTCATAAAATCTTTGCATTTATCCTTTTGTTTCTTTTCTATTTGTTCTTTATTTTCCTGCAGTTTCATCAATCCCCAATATCAGCACACAATATTATTTCATATTGATACTATGGAGAAATTTCTCTTTGCAATTTTTTGGATGTCTTTTCATGTTTGTTCTCTCAATTAAACCTCCTTAGTAATCAGTGTAATTAAACTGTTGGTCTTTATCCATGGAGATAGGCATCCTTCTGCATCCCATAAAATCCTTCAACCTGTCCTTTTGTTTCTTTTCTATTTATTGTTTATTTTCCTGGTGTTTCATCAATCCCCAATATCATTCTTCTGCACAACAATACTATTTCATACTAATACTAGATGTGCCCACATTTAGTACCCATAAATAATACTGGACAAGAATGTTAAAGTTGAGCTAGGATTCCTAGGAATACTTGGTATGCTTGCAAAAACTTACTCAAGTCCTCAGGTCATCCACATTATATCCAAAACTAGCAACATAATTGTCTCTATATTAGAGTCCTCATGATACAACAAGTTTCTCCAATGTGATATTATTTTGCAGGCCTTGAATGCTAAATTACTCAAAAGTCTTGGAAAATGCAAGCCTACAAACCCTAGACGCAAAAGCAAGGTATACAAAGTGTACATAGGACCTAAATTGAGACATTCATCATTACCTAAAAAACATAGAAAACTCGTAAAATAATTCAGGAAATATATATACATATTTGAAAATAAAACAATTCAACAACTCAAATTGCAGAACACTGAATTGGCCCATCATTTGATCATTGCAAGTTATGGAGACGTTAGATGATTAATGAAAGTAAATGCAATAGATATTTGGAGATGCTAGATGATTGATTCTTATTAACAACAGGAACAAAAATCTTTGAAGAAAGAAACCAATAGAATGATGCAAAAGAAAATTTTCCTGAACAGAAACATTGAATAACCAAAAAATACATAGTTTTATGGCTTACCAGGAGCAATGTAACCATGAGTGCCAGCAAAACAACTAGAATCATTAGGAGACGCTGCTACAGTCTTGGCAATTCCAAAATCAGCAATCTTTGGTTCATAATCCTCATCAAGTAAAATGTTTGTAGACTTTATATCCCTATGAATAATAGCCGGTGAACAATCATGGTGAAGATATGCAATCCCCTTTGCAGCTCCAACAGCAATTTTGTACCGTTGCAGCCAATTTAATTCTGGATGTCCACCTTTGAATTGCCGCTGAAGAGCTTGAAACAAATTTCCATTTTCCATGTACTCAAAAACCAAAAAGTTCAAGCCCCCTCTCATCAAGCAAGCAAAGAGCTTCAGTATATTTCTATGTCTGATCTTCCCCAGAATCTCCATTTCTGCTGTCAACATTTTCATTTCTTTTCCCTTCCATAGTTGCTTCACAGCCACAGATCCCCCACTGGTCTTCAAATCCACTCGATAAACTTTTCCTGTACTTCCACTTCCAATTAAATTATCCTCATCCAAGTTGCATATTTCTTCTGCATCAAATTCTGCTTGGTGATAAGACTCAATTTTCCAATTTGGATCTTTTTCCTGACCCTCTTCAAGATCCTCTTCCTTGTAAGATTGGTTAAGCTTGAAATTTCTGTAACTCACAAACAATAAACCACCTATGAAAATAACCATGGCTGATACTACTATGAATATCAAAGCCAATTTATTTTCAAAAAGATTTTTGTGGTCATGGCTTATAATGCAAACAGCCATTTGGGAATTTATCTGATTCCTGATTCTTTCATCAGCACAAAGCCCCATATTGCCCAGAAATGCCTCATTTCCACCCATCACCAAAAGGTCAGAAGGAACCTTACCATATAACTGGTTTTCAGAAAAATCAATGGCACTTAGCTTCAACTTCTGTAGATTTTCTGGGATTACACCTGAAAGCTTGTTTTGTGAAAGATTCAGAGAATTCAAAGAGTTTAACTGGGAAAGTACTTCAGGGATATCACCATTAAGAGAATTCCTGGCAAGATTCAAGTCCACCAATCTGGTACACTTACCCAATTCTATTGGTATTGATCCTGTCAACAAGTTCTCCTCTAAATGCAGTGATGACAGTTGCTTTAAATCTCCAATTTGGGAAGGTATTGACCCAGAGAATGTATTATTATTTGCAGAGAACTTCCCTAACTGAGTAAGCTTACCAAGTTCTGGTGGGAGCAGACCTGAAAATTTATTGTTCCTTAACCACAATTCAGTTAAGCTAGTGGAAATCCCAATATCTAAAGATATTCCTCCACTAAAGCCATTATCTCCAAAATCTATGATATTTGCATTGGGTAATCCCCAAGTCCCATTAGAAATTGGCCCAGATAAGCGGTTCTTGTTGATCCTTAACCTCAGCAGTGACTTGCATTCAGCATATGTTTCTGGGAAGTACCCAGAGAAGTCATTATCCAAAGCAAGTAAGAACCTCAAGCTTTTATTTTGACATAAGAATCTGGGAAACCCACCAGAAAACTTATTCTCAGATATATCAATACTGGTGAGTGGAGAGAATCGACCAAAATTTGCTGGAAATTCTCCTGAAAATCTGTTCCTGTAAATAGAAAAGGACTCCAAATGTTGCATGTCTCCAAACCCTTGTGGAAGTTCTCCTGAAAAGTTGTTTTCATAAAGCTGAAAAATCGCCAAATTTTTCAGGGTGCCAATCTCAGGAGGCAATGTTCCAGACATATGGTTCATGGAGATGTCAAATTCACGCAAAAGGGTGAGCTTTGTAAGATCTGGAGGGATCTCACCAGTGAGATTGTTTGAGTAGAGCTCAATCTTTTTGAGGTTCAGCAAATTTGATATTGCTTTTGGAAACTCTCCAGTGAGATTGTTGGTTGAAAAATCCAATGTTTCAAGAGCTGTCAATTCTAAAATGGATTCTGGGATCTCCCCTATCAAATTAGACCCAGCCAAATAAAGAAATGTCAAGTTCTTCAAATTCCCAAGACTTCTGGGAATTTCACTCTCATCAAAGTCATTCTGGCCAAGAGAAAGCCAAGTCAAGCCCGTTAAATTCCCCACCCAACTCGGAAACCCACCAGAAAAGTAATTATCTTCCACGTCAAGAGCCTCCAAGCTCTGTAATTCAGACAAATCAGGCAGGGTTCCTGTGAGTTCATTACCGCTAAGATTGAGAAGTCTGAGATTTCTGCAACTGGTTATCTCAGAAGGAAGTTTCCCAGAAATTGAATTCGACGCGAGATTGAGGGTACTCAGACTCTCGAGCTTAGAGATGGAAGGAGATATCTCTCCCGAGAGGGATTTATTTTCAAGGGTGACATTTATAACCTGACCAGAATCGGGATCGCAAAAGATTCCGGTGAAATCACAGGGAGATTCAGAATCTCTCCAGCTCTCCAAATAGCCGAGGGGATCTTTCAACTGCTTTTTGAACTGGAGGAGGGCTTCTGTTTCAACCGTTATGGCCTTGGACGGCGGGAAGAGAGAAACGAAGACAAAAATCGCTATTATAAAACGGAGGCAAAGTGGGCATTGTGCCATTTTGAAAATTACCGAGGACAAATATGTCATTTAACTATTCGAACCTTCACGAGAACCTTTCTGACGAAAGACGACATGCTTCCCTTTCATCGGCATCGTTCTTAGTTTCTTAGAACTATTAACACCTGCACCAGACAAAAATCAATCAGAAACCGTAAAGGCATACACAGAAAAGAGAATATATTTTGACTAGATCGCCTGCCCCACTTTGCACGCCCCGCTGGCGCCCCACTGCCCACTATACTTTTTTATTTAGCTATGCAAGAACCAAAGGAATCCAGATTCCCTACCGCCCACACGGACACCGAGCAGGAATACCGAATATCAACTGATTTCGGATCATCTTAAAAAAAAAAAAAAAACTGATTTCGGATCATCTTAAAAAAAAACTGATTTTGGATCATCTTAAAAAAAAAAAAAAAAAAAACTGATTTCGGATCGGTTTCATATCGGCATGCACCTTTAACCGCTTTTTTTTTGTTTTTTAGGTCCTCACTATTTTTGAAATAAGTCAGACCCAAAATACTTAAGGGCAGTTTGATAAATCTTTTTAGGAAGATCTTTTGGTAGTTGACAGTCAAAAGATGCATTAAGCTTTTACATTAAGATCTGCCTAAAGCCCATTTGGTTAAAGTGTGTCTTTTCATACAAAAATTGAATAGAAAAAAAAAACACACTTACACACAAAAACTCTATTTGGAGCTTTCCAAAAAGTACACATTTTGGGCTTCGCATTTTACTGGCTAGATCTACCAAGAACCAAATGAGAAAAGACTCAATTATAATCTGCCGGACTTGTAAATAACTGACATACTACACGAAAAAGCACACCAAACAGAGCCTTAGGCTATATTTGATTTGAAGGAAAATGTAGAAAAATGAAAAAAAAGGATAAGAAAACCTATACAAGATTTGTAAAAATTTCCTTACCTTTCATTTCTTTTCCCTACTTTTTTCCTTTCTTTCCCTGTTTTATTGTAGGGGTGTATCAGAAAGTTACCAATGTTATATGCATCGGCTAATACACCTATATAAATGATGAAATTTATTCTAGGCCAAACCTAAACCCATGCATTCCTAATCTTAGGGGTACAAGTCGGATAGACTGGTCCTGGTTTAAGCTCAACCCAGACCCAAGGCTAAGAATTGAGTGTAATGCCTAAATCCAAACAAGCCAAGGGTCAAATTAAATTTGACCAACCCCAAACCTAATCCGTACTAATTTTAGTATACTCAGGTTGGGCTTAAGTCCCTAGGCCTAAGGTTTAAAGTATTGATACATATCGATCTGTATTGGCCCATATATATCATTCTAGGACCTCTCCAATATGCCCCTACAGTGGATGTAGGAGGGGTCTGACCAGTTCAGGGGAAAGAGGAACCTTAAACCAGCCTTCTAAACCGGTTTTGAAAAAGATTAAGAAAATAAAAAAAAAAAAAAGTATCGATTCGCCTGAGTATCAGACGCATCGATATTTTGAAGCTTGCCTAGGTCAGGTTTATGGGTCGGATTAAATTTACTCGATAACTAGGTCCAGATCCAGCACAAAGAAAGAAAACCCAAGCCCAACTTCTATCAAATTGTGAACTGATCAGTGAGCTCGGCTTAAACTCATCACAACAACGTGCAAAAAATTATTCGGGCTCAAGCCGATCCCTGAATAATCAACCAAATTAAATTAGGGTTGATAACTGGACAGAGTAAACCCGTCCGTTCAATGGTGGGCCCACTGTCCGGATCCTTGATCTGCAGTGCAGGCACCGAGTCACCGACGCTCCTGCAGTAGCCCACAATGGCCCATAGACCATGCACTTCGTCCTTGCAGAACAACGAATTCAAGCAGAGGCCCCACATGCTTTTTGAATCGTCAGAATGGAATCCATTTTTCATTTGGCACTAAGTCAGAGACCAATCCAATCCCTCAATCCTCAAATACGACGCGTCGAATATCAAAGACTTTTCCTCTACAAATGTACGGCCAAGATCTGACCTTTCAAGAAAGAACCCAAGTAGAGTACTAATTCTGTCCGAATACGACTACGGCATAAACACCTTTCAACTCGTTGTTTTCTAGCATTTTCTGCTAGTTAGAGAACATAAATTGGTGCATATGCAACGCGTTACAGACAATATATGATCATGGAATGGTCTACTTTTTATGGACCCATTGTCTGTACGGGGTGAACGTCTGACAACACTTGCCAGGTGACACCTATATAGAAGATCTTTATCCACCATCTAAGGTTCAAAGTCCAAGCATGTTTCACAGAATCACTGAAACATTGATGAAATCGGACGGCTGAAAAATTATATTTTTGGAGTATGGATTAGGATCGCTCATTCAATGACGGAGGGTTTTGATCAACTTGAAACGTGGCACATTTCAGTCATGGGCCCCACCCTGCAACTACGGAATGGACCTCTAATAGGCTTTTACCCAGATAGCAAGCAAGAAGTAAGAACCATCACTAGGAACAAGATGGACTCACGAGATTGCTAAGCTGCAACGAGGGAAAAGAGGGGAAAAGGAATCATTCCATTACATTCGTAATATGGACAGATGAAGAAAAAATTTTCAGGAAAAAAACTGCAAATTTTCAGGGTTTATTTTTCCAACGACTTTCTCATTAAAAAAATCATGGTGACTTTCTTTAATGTTTCCTGAGAAACCAATCTGAACCCTGATCCTTCAAGGAACAAAAAACGATTCAGAGAAAAAAAAAACACTCACCTTTGAACTTGGTCGAATGGAGTGGACTGAATGATTCTCTCATTCAAACATGATACCCTCCCCTTTTTCTCCATCAAACCCAGAAAAATATATCAGAATGAAATCTCTACAGAAACCTACTTCTCAAGCACTGGGATAGAAAAAGAAAAACCCAAACATTTCTATGTCGATTTTTCAGCAAAAACTCGGAAATTGCTTCAGACTACTAAAGAAACTCTCCAATGGAAGAAAATAATTGGAAAACATTTTCAATCTGGATGGGGAGTTCTGGTCCTTACCGAAAACAAGCGACATGTGTGATTCCAAATCTCTCCAGCATCTTACTCCTTTTCGCCAGGAGATGGAATTTTCCTGAGCAAATCCAGCCTCGAGCTAGAAACTCAAAAAGGTTTTTATTCCTCGAAAGCTGAAATCTGTACACATCTGATTCTTCTTAAGGTGTTTCGAAGCAGGGTTTCGTAACGCTCGTTGGAAATCCGCTTTGAAATGCTAAATTACTCGGAAAAGCAACAAAAAGAGCGCCTTAAAATATCTCTCTTCGCAGTAACAGAAATTACAAACTTCGAGACGAGATACCGCGGATAATAGAGAAAAGAAATTAACCACTGGAGTGAAGCTCAAGAATCAAGAGAGACAACAGCTTCAGAGCTGCTCAGAAGAATTAAAAACCCATCGAAATTTCCAACAGTGGCCAGATTTTTTTTCCACGAGAAAAACCTGGAGAACTGCAAAGGGCGCCACTCAATTAATGTGGAATTTCCGGGAAAGGAAAAGATTTTACAACATGCCGACACCACCGATCCACCTCGAAGCGAAGGTGGTTGCTGGTGATTCAGTGATGGAGTTTAACAACCATTCGGTACTCCACAAATCATATATCACAATCGTCTACCTTCCCAGAAAATGCATGACCACGATCCCAGGGTCATATAAGTTTAAACTTACCGAACCAGCCGGTTGGGCCGATTTTTGGTTCACTCTTCATACCCAACCCAACATCCAGAATTCGTTCATACACGTGATTACTTGTTAAATGCACTCAAGCTCTTTGAGAGATATTCTCATCGTGTTTGAAGGAATATCATTTTAATGTTTTGCCCAATTTATTTATTATTGAGTTTATATGATGTTGAATGGTGCTTAATAGTACGCTCAGTTTGGAAAGAGTATAAATATAAATATATACAAAATAATACAAAATATAAGGTTTTGTACTTTTTATATTTACATTTGTATTCCTTTTAAACTGAGTCTTAGGCTCAATTTGAAAAGAGTATTTCGAAACTAAGACTTAACAATACTATTCAATAATATTTATCCTTCCAAACTGAGTACTAAACAGTATCTCTATTTTTTAGTTATTTAGGCTAAGTTTGGAAGGAGTACGTAGAATGCAAAACCTGTATCTATTTACATTGTAGATATTTGCACTTTGTACTCTTTTGACCTAAACAGATTAACAGATAAACGGGCTTCTTAAGAAACAGCTAAACCAGCTCTTTTTCTGATCAAAATAACTGCTTGTATACATAAAACGTTCAATAGAAATTTTTTGTGCTTTTCATAAACAGAGATTTTGATACAAAAAGACCTGTAAAGCTTTAACGTTTTCCAGACTGACTTTTAGCTTTCCCAACATAAAAAGCACAGCAAAAAATACCATTGGAGAACACTTCAAAAGCAGGCTGAATTCCGTTTGAACCGGTTCATGACTGATTTGATTTCAAATTGATAGTAAACTCAAATCGTATTTATCCATATGTCAAGTATTGGTGTCAAACGCAAGGTGCCAATGGTTGATAAGGACTCTTGTAGTGGAGACTTGGGATCAAATCGCACCTGTTACAGGGTGGTTATGGATAGGAGAATGTGTTATGCAACGTTTTCGAATCGTTGTTGACCCGAATGGTCGGAACGTTCGGCCTGGGAATCGTCCAGGCAATCGGTTCCGTTTTACCCAAAATCCAAAATCTGGTAAAAAATCATTGAAAAAGTCAATAAACCGTTGACCCAAAAGATCAAATCATCGACTCATTCAATGATTTTTGACCTTTTTTATTTTTTAATTTTTTTAATTTTACTATTAAAATGATTCATCTATTTGAACCGGACAGTTGGACCGTTAATCCAAAAACTGGTGGGCTGAACTGTTCTGTTTCTACGTTGTTCTTTAAAACATTGGTGCTATCCCATTGTGTAGCCCTTCAAAAATATTGAAAAACAAAACAAAAAAAAAGGAATGGTGCCAAATTATATCGATAGGTCAATTTAGGGTCTCTCAAATAATGATTATTTTTTTATTTATCAAAAAAATAATGATTATTTTTGCAACATATATCTTCATTTTCTCCTCTTCCATCTTCTTTTATCTAATCATTCGCAGTTTCTAGTGGGATTGTCTATGTCTCACTTGTGGGGTTAATTTCGACCGATCACGTGTGGATCGGCCCCAACGGGCCGACTTACATCGAACCACCTGTGGCCATGTATTAGTCAAAACCATGGAAACGAGACAATTTTGCAGCCTGATGTTGCCCACACAATTCTGCAACCTGTTGCCCATACTTGTAGCTCCGATCGGTTGGACATAAAATGGAGGAAAAAAAAGTAATTTCCTAAAATTGCTTTTTTTATCTTATTTCCTAAAATTGCCATTTTTGCATTATTTGGTTACACTTATACATAAAGTTGCTCAGCAAGTGACAATGGTTTTTGTTTTATTTGTTTTTATTTTGAAAAAAATAAGTAAATTTTGTTTCAAAAATATTTAATTCATGTTTTTGGTACCATAAAAATAATGGTTTAGAATAAAACAAATTTTGTAAATAAAAGATATATAATTTATGAAACATAATATTAAATAGTTATATGAAAACACTAAGGATACATTATTATTCCCTTTTTACAGTTTACAAAAAGACTATTGTTCGCTTAGAGGGGATAATGGGCTTATGGGCATGAGTTTTATGAGTTTCATTGTATGCCAAATTTATTTTATTTTTTTTGAAAAAAATATAGGATCATATCATTTTTCTCAAACCCCATTTATATGATCTATACGAGACAAATATGACATGAGACAATAATTACTGGTCCAACCCATTGTTGAACCGGATTTAAAGAATGTCAGTCCGGTTCAGAAGGTGCAGTACTGGTCCCCCGGGAAAAGGCTATCCAAACACTACATATTTATTCCTTCTTGTAATACAATTATGATTTTACATTGACTCAACATAGCTCCAGTCGCACTAGACCAGTATCTCAGCACCCACTAAGCAATAATCGGTGAAAATGATATCCAGAGTTGACGAGATGTTCTGGTCCATGCACAATCGTAGTGGCTCACAAAACATTTTCAAAATTTTACTATTTTTCTGAAAAAACGATTTTACCCTTTTGAAGTTCCTTAATACCAAACCTGTGTCTTCAAGAAAATTGGGTACTTTAATTTTGATGATGGCCTCGCCATCCTATTATTTAATTTTAGGGTAAATTTATGATGCCGATTAGGCATCCAACGAGTTTTAACCAATGAATCCCCATGAGTTTTGGTCAATAGCTTCTAAATGCTATCATTTATGCTGATTGATTTTGGAAGTATTCTATAGTGTGGATAAAAAATTGAGTGGTATATTCTTAATTATATCACACCCATATATAAGTATGGCTGAGAATACACCATACAACAACACAATAGGCATTTTGTAATGTGGACCAACATAGGTGTCTGAACCACACTACACCCATATAGGTGTAGATCTGTAGGGTGTGGTATGGTGTGGTTTGGGCCACACCTTGTGTTTTGATTCCATGTAGATATACAATGTGAGATAATCTAGGACATCGTCGATGAAGAGTAATATATTTTTTTCTTAAATTTTTAAGTAAAATACAGATTAATTTAATATGTGATCAAATTAACCATAATTTATATGAATTAATAAAAAATAAAATTCCTACTTCTAATACCAATTAATAATTTGTAGTGGTAAGATAAATATTATTAATTAAATATAAAACAAATAATTAAAAAATATTGTATGAATTAACATACTTGCGAAGTACCAGATAAAGAAAATAGAAGAGCATGTGGCATGATTCTAAGCTCGAATTAATTAGTGTGACCGATATTTTTGAGTGTGGTGTAATCCACACCACGAGATAATGGATTTCAAACCACACTACATAATAATCGAGTGCATCAAAGTGGTATGATGTGATTTAAAACCCACTATCTCGTGAATTGACTACCCTACCGAATGCCACCGTTAAGAGTTTTTTCAGTGTCATGCTTTTGGTTTTTATAAGGTTTAAAGTTAGACAGACATATTGATATATATAAGCTGATATGATTTTAATTGTATGCTGCCTATTCAAGAACCATACGTAGTTTTTAGACCGAGTTCTTTGAGTCACATGGCATGGGTGGAATAACAATTTCGGTGCTACTCCACGGATATCTATAGTATTAGCCGATTTAATAAAATCAGTATTTTTTAAGTATCCATGACATTTATATTAGTTTTCTAATTAAGATATATATGCATCTTTTAATTTTTTTGTCATATTTCAATATTTTCCCAAGTGTATTTTAGACGTGTCTTCTGGGCTCTGGCGGTTCATAAGCCATTAAAAGGTATATTTTTTTTATGTATTTATATATACTTTAATATGGTCAGTTAAGCTTCCGATTTAATGTTATTCATGTAATTTTGGGATTATAAAGTATTTTTAAGCCCCAAAGCTGATTCCAGTTAACTCAGCTTACTGGGATAGAATAAAATCTCGAGGGAGGGACCTAGTCCAGCACCATTGGTTACATATTCCAAAATTTGCAAAAGAAAAAGATGAACAACTTTATTTCAGTTCCCTTGTAACATAATTTCTCGAGATAGCATCAAGATGCTTGAGACTTGGCATCGACAGCAACTTGGTGATGACTATGGAGTCTCCTACGAGAATAAAATCTTAATGCATTTATCAATGTTTCGAGAACTGGATCGGACATTGATCCGGTAAAGGCAGAGATTCACGGGTTAGAGATTTGATCGAGGTTGAACCGGAGGTTCGAATCATGCTGATATAATAAATTATATATCGAATTTTCAAAGTTTAAGAGAATATGTCCACAATGGAAACAAATACATCTATAAACAAAGTTTAAGACTCAATCCTAACAAATTAAATAGTATAAAATTATAAATTAAACACAATTTTTTATCCTAATTCCTAAATCACAATATTTAATTATTAATTTATTTCTACAAAATTCAAAATATGATATCAATTTATTGAAATTTAAATTTCATTGTTTTTGTATTTCTGTTCCGAGCTTTGAAGGGGGCTTAGACTAACCTGGAACTGAACAAGTAGGTGGGTTGTCTTGTCTATTGTGTAAGAATTTGGTGGATTAAAAGGCTAAAATAAAGACTAATCGAATTTGAGCAAACATGTAAACAACACTAATGAATGTTAACAAATTTTTGAATTCAGAAATTAAAAAATAAATATTTAAAATTTAAAATAAAATAAACTGCTAAAGATTGCAGAAACAGGTGTCTGGCGGTGAGAGGAAGAGGAGGAGAAGGAGAAGGAAAGAGGAGAAGAGAGAACCACTATCACACAGTGGCGGTGAACAAACCATCACCCTAGAGAAAGAGGAGGAAGAGGAGGAGAGCAAATGACCAATGGAGTTGAAGGGATACGATCGATGAACAGACCACCGGCAAGAAGGAGGAGGAGGAGGAGGCGGAGGAGGAAGAGGAGAGAGAGAGTACCTAGCGTCGTTGGCTATTGCTTGAGGCGGTTGACAGCGAGGCAACGAGTTGCAACTATTGCTAGTGGTGGAGGAGGAGATATTCGATCATGGTTGGAGTTCGAACGAAAGAGAATGAGGGACGAGGGTT